TTATGTGAGTGCTAAAGCTGTTCCTGTAACTGATACAGCTGTTTTATGACTGCTACAGCTGTTTTACGACTGCTACAGTTAATTATAGGACTACTGCATTTGTTTTATGACTGCTACAGCTGGTTTTATGACTTCTACAGCTGTTTTCATGACTGCAACAGCTGCTATTGCATTTAACTTTAATAAATCCATCAAGAAGCTTTAAGGATGATGGCATCACACGACTACAAGATGACCACCGCATGTTCTATGGCTCTAACTCTGTAATGGCTAGCTCTGTTCTAATGGACAGGTGTGCTCTAATGGCTAGCTCTGTTCTAATGGACAGGTGACTGAGCAGTGATAGTGATTATTGAGCAGTGATAGTGATTATTGAGCAGTGATAGTGATTATTGGTCAGTGATAGTGATTATTGGTCAGTGATAGTGATTATTGGTCAGTGATAGTGATTATTGGTCAGTGATAGTGATCTTATTTGACGCATAAATTACTTTCATTTAGGTATATTTAGTGAGGCAGTGCTAACAAGCAGCTCTCAGTCTGCCAACTTTTAATTACGTACATTAATTCGAAAGATTATGTCCTCGATTGTAATGTTTATAAGTATCCATGATACGTGAAGGCTTCATACATTCATTGGATGATATTAATGCAGGATAAATGTGGAAAACTGCTAACAACAGTTATATTGCTGTCTCATATTATAAACATTGATGTTGTCACATATTACAAACATTGATGTTGCCACCATATTCCAGACATTGCTGTTGTCTCCATACTACAAACATAAATGTTGTTTGTTATCGCCATATTACAAACATTAACGTTGTTGTCTCTATATTACAAACATTGATGTTGTTGCCGTTATATTACAAATATTAATGTTAATGATACCATTACCAAACAAGAAGTCGTCACCCCAATTTCTTCTATAGACATGGCTTCCACACACGGTCCCTGCAGACTATATTAATTAATATAGTAGACAACCTTATCTACCTCTACCACCTGCACCTATTCTCGCCAGGCTGCGGTGGCGAGAATGGTGTTGGTGAGCGCGGTGGCGACGGCGGCATGCGACGCGGCGTCTCAAAGTCCGCCGGCGACCTCCACAGGACGCGCTCGGCTGAGAGGTAAGAGACGGGCTAGTAACAACAGTCCTAATTTAACCCTTCAGGTCATATTCCTAGCAGTTGTTGAGCAAGATAAGGGGTTAAATAGCGTATTTATTTACGTGCTTTAAGACAAAGCCACGTAATTCTACAGCTACAGTCGCCGGTCGTTGCACTGTTAGAAAAAACGGTGAAAAAACGGTCCCACTGGCGTTCTAGTAGCCGGTCGCCACGTAAAAATATACAGTTTCGCCGTTTTTTATCAGATGTTATATGTTCTAGTGTTAAATTAGAATAAAAACGGCGACACGGTGTTTCTTTTCAAGTGCCGACCGGCCACTGAAACGCCGGTAATACTGTTAACGGTCATTTTTCTAACAGTATGGGTGCAGCATGGTTGAGAGTTGGGAAAGTGTGAAGGCAGGGCCGTGCTGGGGTTGAATCACTGTAGCGCAGTGGTTAGTGCCTCTGTATGCGCAGTGGTGAGTGCCACTGTAGCGCAGTGGTTAGTGCCTCTGTATGCGCAGTGGTGAGTGCCAGTGAGTGCCTCTGTATGCGCAGTGGTTAGTGCCTCTGTATGCGCAGTGGTGAGTGCCACTGTAGTGCAGTGGTTAGTGCCTCTGCATGCGCAGTGTTGAGTGCCACTGTAGTGCAGTGGTTAGTGTCTCTGCATTCGCAGTGGTTAGTGCCACTGTATGCGCAGTGGTTAGTGCCACTGTTTTCGCAGTGGTGAGTGCCACTGTATGCGCAGTGGTGAGTGCCACTGTATGCGCTTTGGTTAGTGCCAATGTATGCGCAGTGGTGAGTGCCACTGTAGTGCAGTGGTTGGTGCCTCTGTATGCGCAGTGGTGTCGGCACAAAGATAAGAGGAGCTAGCCGCGGGTTCGAGCCTCGGCAAGCTCAGTTTATTTCTTGGTGTCGCTGGTAAGCGGCGCTTGGTTGTCGTTAAGAGGTGGTGCTTCCAGCGTGCACATGGCCTTGGGTTGTTGTTCCACAATGAACTCTTGGTGCTTGTTACCTGGTTGATCTTGAGGTTTAAGGTTAAACATCCATTGACACGAGAATGGCTTAAGTATTGTTTGTGGACTTAGGGTGCTATATATAGAATATAGGGCTTAAGGCAGTTTGGAACTGTTGTGGCTTTCGGTGGCTCTTAAGCATGGTCTGCGTCTTCGAAGCACCCAGGCTAAGTGTAGTGTATTTTTAGGCTGCATGTTGGCTTTAAGCTGGTTTAAGAGTTAAATTTGTGGCCAAAGGCTAGCTGCACGGCCGGAGAGAGAGGAAGGGTGTTGAAGGGATTGATGGTGACCAAGGTGGTTGTAGCCGTGGTGTAGGAAGTGGTGGTGCCTGGTTGCGCTGTTGATGTGGTGGGTTGTGCCCAGCAGTGATGAAGGTGTCCATGGCGAAGATGGTTATTCCTAGATCCTAATTGTAGTTGGTGGTGATAGGTTTAAGAGAGTGTTGGTGGCATATAGTGGTGTGTGGTAGCTGGCGGTGGTCTTGGAGTGGATGATTGTTGAGCAGCGGATGATTCAACTTCCCGCGCTGACACTTTGATCGTGTCACTATATGCATGACTAACAATCGGATGTTCACTGTCTGCATTTGTTCAACATTGCAGTTTAAATTCATATATTAGTAAATTTGTGATAATCCTACTAGTAAGTAATTTATATATTGCAGAAAACCCTGTGTTCAGTAATATCAAGCTTTCAGGAAATATGAAGGTTAAGCTTGGAAGAATTTTATTTAATGTGACATTACTGGTCCGCCATTTGTCAGGTGAAGGACAGGGCAGTGTCGCTCATACTTACCTTGCCCTCTTGCAGCGCGCGTGTGGGGAGCGAGGTACCTCCAAACGTTCAGCTTCCCTCATATTTCCCTCATATTACTCTCATATTACCCTCATATTACCCTCACATAACCCTCATATTGCCCGCATAATATTTTCATATTACCCTCATATTTCCCTCATAATACTCTCATATTACCCTCATATTACTTTCATATTGCCTTCATATTGCCCTCATATTACCCCCACATTACCTTCATATTACCCTCATATTATCCTTATATTACCCTCATAATATCCCCATATTACCCTCATGTTACCCTCATAGTACCCACATATTACCCTCATGTTACCCTCATATTACCCTCGTATTACCCTCATATTACCCTCATGTTGCCCTCAAAGCACCCTCAAAGCACCCTCATATTTCCATCTTATTTCCCTCTGCTGAAATAAAACACAGCAAAATAACTGCAGGACCCAGAAAAATTAATGGGTTTCATTGTCCAAATGACGACACACTTTCTTACCCAATGTACGTACATAGAGCTCACGTAGGATTAATACGCCGAGTTAAACTGGGACATGATAAGCTATGCACGACAAGGCAAAAAGTGCTTCACAATTTGGACAAGATCCCAATAATTTCTCTGAGTGCGTGCTTGTTTAACAATCAGACGCTGTATGTTCACTGTAGAATAAAGCGCTTAATAAACTTCTGATTAACTGAATAATAAGCTACTCAATTTAGTCCATAGATATTTTCAGATAAATTATCTATTAAACTGCTTATTAACTGAATAACTGAAGATAGTTAGCAGTAATATGAGGGAATTATTTGCATGAGGACATTCTGTTATTAGTTTATTATGGCTAACTATTATATTTTTCATCTTAATTTTCACCGACGCTGGAAGTTTCTCGGGCATTTGCTTCGGTTAAATTCTTTTTTGTTTCTATTGCCACGAATAAAATTTTATTCGTTTCAGAAAAATGTCATTCTAATAGCTTAAAGCATAGAATATCCTAGATATTTTTTCACAGGGCAATTGTAATGAAAGTATAGGTCACGTCCCTAAAATTCATGTCTAAACGATACGATTATTCAAACATCCACAATTTTTTTAATATACAAATAACTTTCTATATAACATCGTATAATTTTATTTTCCATGTATAGTTTTTAGATATCGTTTTATTTCTATGCTTTTACAGCCTTCTTCTCTAATATTTTTTATTCCATTATTCAACAGCTTATATTTATTTACATCGTGAGCGACTTTTCTCTCTCAGCACTTCTCTCCCCGCTATAAATACATATAATAAACGTATATTATTATTTATAATAATATAAATACATATAAATAACGTATATTATTATTAATAATAATATTAATACATATAATAAACAATGCACACATCATGCTGTGCATGCTTCATCATCATGCTGTATACGCAGCATGCAATGCACACATCATGCTGTGTATGCATCATCATCATGCTGTATACCCAGCATGCAATGCACGCAGCATGCAATGCACGCATCATGCTGTGCATGCATCATGCTGTATGCTCCATGCATACACCGCAGCCGTACGCGTTGCTACTTCATTATTAATGTCACAATCCACGACCGTACAGTCCGTTTTGACGATCGATATTGTGTCTACTGATGTACTGTTTGTTAATGATTCGTCTGTTGATGTTCCGTTTGTTAATATTAGCTTAATTGATGTCTTATTGATGAACATTTTGTGACGTCATAACAATATAACACCATCACATAACAATATAACACCAGCAGCCCTGCGGTGTTCACTTATCACCGGATAATTGAGAGACAAACTTTATTTGATATCTTCTGATGATTCCTGATTTTTTAAATTAATTAATTTAAAAAATTAAATTACTTTTTTAATATTCGAAAATAAGATGAGAAATTCATTGCACATCTTTAACATTGGAGGCACTGGATTTTTTAGAAGTGTTGTCTTTAAAAAGTAATTTTTAAACGTATATTATTTGCACTTTATAAAGTTCATATTTTGTGTAAAAAATTAAATGTACAAAACGGATACGTATGTCGCATGTGCAACATGAGCGTTCCCATATGCATGTTACATTACCTGTTAAATGCAATAGACATGATGGCTCTTTATATTATATTTCGCATATTGTAAATAAATATTGTATTTAGCATGTTCTTTATTCGTGATTAAGCATGCATATTTATTTCTTGCTCTTATGCGTATATTTTGCCCAACGATAATATTTCCCGAGTGCATGTTCATGCTAGCATGTTTTTCTTAAAGGTCTTTTGCATGTTTTTGTTAACGTTCCTCCGCACCACAGGAGCGTTTCGCAACTTTCAACCGCACGTTCGACGAGAACATGAAGGAGAACCTCGACACTGACAAGGCATGTTCTCCTTTGGGTGGCACTCGTTAGCTCTAATTAGGACGTATGTTCATGCTACTTAACTAACGTATGCGGACGTATGTTCATTCTACTTGACTAATGTATGAGAACGCATGTTCATTCTACTTAACTAACATATGAGGACGTACATTCATTCTACTTAACTAACGTATGAATACGTATGTTCATTCTATTTAACTAACGTATGAGAACGTGTATTCATTCTACGTAACTAACGTATGACGACGTATGTTCTTTCTACTTAACTAACGTATGACGACGTATGTTCATTCTACTTAACTAACGCATGAGAACGTGTATTCATTCTACTTAACTAACGTGTGAGAACGTATGTTTATTCTACTTAACTAACGTATGAGGACGTATGTTTATTCTACTTAACTAACGTATGAGGACGTATGTTTATTCTACTTAACTAACATGTTCACAGGCATTATCATCATTCTTAATAACAAGCATGTTCATTCCCACCGATAACTGCAAATTTTTCTGACTTTTGCTTATTTCAAAGCAATTGCACATCAGATAAATTGGCTTTTCCCAATAATATTTATTAATAAGTTAATTTTATGCTCGAGTTTCTATGTTTTCTTTTACTATTCTTCTCCTAATGTCGCTATTTCTGATGAATCTAATTGATTTGGACTAACAATTTTAATTAACTGGAGGTAATTAACCGGATTCTATCACCCCGCTCCCTGCAGACGCGGTTCCAGCGCACACGCAGCCGTGACGGCAAGAACAGCCTGAGACGACACGACTCCCAGCCACCCTCAGGCAACCTCCCACTAGGTGACCTACTAGTGCTAGTGCTGCTCCTAGTGCTGCTACTAGTGCTGCTCCTAGTGCTGCTCCTAGTGCTGCTACTAGTGCTGCTCCTAGTGCTGCTCCTAGTGCTGCTCCTAGTGCTGCTACTAGTGCTGCTACTAGTGCTGCTCCTAGTGCTGCTCCTAGAGCTGCTTCTAGTGTTGTTCTTAGCGTACGTTTGTATTGCCTATCCTGGTAGTGGCAACTTGGAAAGTGAGATTGTTGGCCCCATTTATGGTAGATCAGTTTATCTAAGGTAGTTCCATGACTATCACTGGCTCGCTAACCCGTCAGAAACATTATTGCATTACACAACGCCTTGAGAAAGCCACTTACTCATTTATCATGCAAGTATGGATGAATAACTGAGTTGACCATGAGCTGAACAACCTGAAAGAACTTGTACTCAGGGGGACTCGAACCCGGGAACTGAGTTCGGGAGACAGAGTCTCTCACCACTGCACCACCGCTGCTCTTGTTCATGGTGTTGTTAACAGTGCTGTTATTAAGTCGCTCCATAAATCACCATTCCTGATATTATCCCCAGTGCGTTAGCTGTGCGTGTTCACAGTGACAATTTACCTGCTGTCATTCCTGCCACTGCATTACATGATGTCATTTTTCATTTCAATCCCATGTATGGAGTAAGTGTGGACATAATAATTTTATGCATGATAATTTTCAGTCATTATAGCCGTGACCACAATTGCAATATTCATGATAGATGTGAAGATAATAAACAGAATCATGACACACCATCCTCTTTCCCCTCACTTCCCTCAGATGCGTCAGGGCAGCGCGGGGAGGCCACCACGGACGGCGCTGAGGACATGGATGAGTCCTCAGCTGGAGCCTCCCCTTACCATGGGCCTCTTTCCCAGACCTCCCCGAGGGGTGAGTGGAAATATTCCTCCAAACGACATGGTTTTTGGAGCAACATTTTCATCAAACACGACATGTTCTTTGGACGCAGCACCTTCCTCGATCACATGTTCTCCTTTCAATTTATATATTTCTCCGACATATAATATTAATAAACTTAGCATGTTGATGTAACATCTTCCTTCAACACAACATGTCGTTTTCACTAAAAATACTCATCCGACATGTTTTATTTGAGTCGAACGTAATGTTTCAATATAACATTTGTTTCCAATACATGATAACATGTTTATGCTGCACAACATGTACCTCAGACAGCACATGTTCATGACACCACATTTCCCCGTTCAACTGGGTCCTCGAACTTGAAAAGTGGCCAAATCATTTTCTTACATTTTTACTTTCCGACATTCTTTTCCATTTTACCACATGAAGATTTTTTCCACTTTTCACGGTGCGCCGCCTATTCAACGGCTCGTACGACGCCGTTACTCTCGCGAAGCGAAGTTCCGGTAAATTGGGTCCGTGCTCTACGGATTGTTTTTTTTTCGAACGGAAGCCTGTAAAACTAAACCCCCTAGCTGTACTGAGCCTAGAATCAGTTGAAACGCAAGTATTGAACCAGCTGTAGCATTGTAATAGACCAGCAGCCAGCTGTAGCACATTGGTACTGTACCAGCTGTAGTACATTGGTACTGTACCAGCTGTAGCCCATTGGTACTGTACCAGCTGGAGCATTGTAATAGACCAGCAGCCAGCTGTAGCACATTGGTACTGTACCAGCTGTAGCATTGTAATAGACCAGCAGCCAGCTGTAGCACACTGGTACTGTACCTCTAGCACACAGCGATACACTGGATCCTACATAGCCGGAATTTTTCTAGAATTTTACTCGAATTCAACTCTAATATTATTCTAGCCATAAATTACCGCAATGAAGATCGGTTTAACAATTTATGTCTCTTGTTAAATATTAAAAGCATGAGGAGAGTTATCATAAATAGTTTCGTTTCTTGACAGAAAATGAGGGCAACGAAATGGCGTTAAAAACAACGGCTGGTAGAGCGCTCGTCACCAGCGACAAGAACGACGTTCACGCCGTGAGTGTTGGGGGTGTGTGGTGTGTGTGGAGTGGCGTGTGTGGCGTGTGTGGCGTGTGTGGCGTGTGTGGCGTGTGTGGCGTGAAGGCGAGAAGCGGTGTGCTTTGATTTTAAGTGACGAATCAATTATGGCTCAGGTAGTGATTATAAATGAAATGCTTTTCCTCAAACATAGCTTCTGGCCATTTATAATACAAAAAATCGCATTATTTTCGAGGATATGCAACAATGTCTCGTTAATGACCCACTTGTTTAATGAACGCATTCCGATACATCGAAGAAGTAACTCTTTAGAATAATTAGAAATTCAGTCGCTTCTCATCACTAATCATTATTGTACTCCAATCTCAATATTAAAAAGTGGAATTATCATATACTACAACGTACAATCTATGCAGTATACACGTATAATATGAAGTTGTAGTTTTTAGTTGCTTGATTATGATTAATGCAGGACGTGCAATCCCGTGAATAAATTGATGAATGAAATGATGAATGAACTGGGTTTGAATTTAGCGAATCTCTCACTTAGCCCACGAGACATGTCAGCAGACGTCCGTCTGAACCTCCTATACATGAGGTTTGTATACCTCAAATGTTGCTTGTGCGTGGCATTCGTGTTCGTGAGTAGCATTTGTATCAATTAGTAGCATTCGTGTCCATGAGTAGCATTCGTCTCCATGAGCAACATTCGTCTCCACGAGTAGAATTCGTATCCATTAGTAGCATTCCTATCCATGAGTCGCATTTGTCTCCATGAGTAGCATTCGTCATCATGAGTAGCATTCGTCTCCATGAGTAGCATTCGTCTTCATGAGCAACATTCGTATCCATGACTAGCATTCGTCTCCATGAGCAACATTCCTCTCCATGAGTAGCATTTTTCAGCACAATGGCTAGAAACGAATAGCAATTTCGTGATATTGTAATGAATTACTTTGGAGTTCGTGTTTGCATCACATTTCCCTAAGTTCTCCCTAGACATACAAATCGTAGTTGTTTAGAAATTCCACATTTTTAGTGCTGCATTTACTCCTGATTAGCAACTGACTTTCTAATTAGATTAAAGAATTACTGGTTCAATGTTGCGAAATTTGTTCATTAAACAAGTAGGTCACAAGCATAATATTTTTGTACATCCTCAAAAATAATGCGATTTTCTCTATTATATTTTTGTTACATAGCATCTTTATTCAATTTAAACTTTGAATAATAGATACTTGTTTCAAGTTTTGCTCTGCCCGAACATTGCATTATAGAAATAGGTGATGCATTATAGGTGATGCATTATAGAAAGTACCCTTCATAGCCCCTTCATAGCCTTTTTATACCCCCACAAATACAATAGTTGTAATATTTATCCTGTTTATGATTGTCTGGTGATTAGTGTTGAAATAACACCTGACAGTTTCTGAGAGTGGCGACAGTGAAGTAAGTTGAATCCTTGTTGCTTTTACCATAGACTTTTGCTAGCAGACTTCAATGAAATTCACATTTTTTGGCCGAGTACTTTTGTGGGAACATTATTTTTTGGGTTTAAGCATGTCAAACACCTGCGGGTTTATTTGTTGATTATTATTTATTATTTATTTATTTTTATATTATTTAGTTTGTTTATTTATCATATTATTTTACGGGTTTAAATCAAAGTCAATAAATAATGAGTCTCTTACGTACCCCATGACCCAGGACCCGGCGCTGGCACGGTCTCGCGCCCTGCGGCAGCACAGCTTCTTCCAGCTCACCGTCACCCTCAGACGAGGGGAGGACCTCGTGCCTAAGGACGCTTGTGGTGAGGGCATACGAGGGGCAGTAGAATTCATTTGTACCTTACAATTCATTGAAATTTAATGAAAATGAAAATAGAATTACATGTTAATAGAATTTATTGAATTGAAATAGAATAGAAATTAAATTCCGAAAAATGGAATTCCTCTGTGCATTAGAATTGCTTGAAAGTATTTGGAGTAGAAGTAGAATTCCTTATATGAACAATTATTTTATGCCTTGTTAACATAAAAACATTTTTAGGGTCAGAGTGATATAATAACGTTGTTGTTATCGCACTCTGGGTAGAAGGGCTGACAATGGGATTTGCAGTGGAGCTGGCAATAGGGTTGTTAGCAGGGTTGGCAGTAGGGCTCGTAGTAGGGATTATTGTATATTGTATTGTATTGGCAGTAGGGTTAGCCATGAAGCTACAACTGGGTTAGACAAAATGGTTGACAATAGTGTTGATTGTTGGGTTGGTCATAGAGCTACAACAGGTTATAGCAGTAAGGTTTACTGTAGGATTGGCAGTAAGATTTCCAGTTTGGTTGATAGTAGGAAAAGCAGAAGGATTGGCAGTAGGGTTGGGCATTGGGCTACAACCGGGTGGTGTAGTAGGGTTGACAGTAGGGTTGGCTATGGGAATGGCAGTAGGATTAACAGTAGGGTTGACGGTAGGGTTGGGCATGGGGCTACAACCGGGTGGAGCAGTTGGGTTTACAGTAGGGTCGGCTGTAGGGTTGGCAATAGGAGTGGCAGTAGGATTAACAGTGGGGTTGACGGTAGAGTTGGCTATAGGATTGGCAATAGGAGTGGCAGTAAGATTGACAGTAGGGTTGACGGTAGGGTTGACGGTAGGGTTGGGCACGGGGCTACAGCTGGGTGGAGCACGAGGGTCTAACTACATACGTACCCTCTGAAGGATTGGGCATTCAGTCCCGCAGCTTTAAGACCGGGGGATTTGGGGCATGGTGCGGTGGGGACAGTGTGGGGATGTGTGGCGTATAGTTAGGAATTTGGAAGTGTAGTGAAATAGGAAGTGTGGTAAAGAGATGCTGGTTATGATGAAGTTTTTTATTAAATGTGATGAGAACTAGCCGTGATGATGGCTGCTCTGAGTGGTGATGTGTGAAACGTGCCTCCAGCCTGACGCCATGGCTGCAGCATGATGGATTGTTTACCAGTTTTTGTGCTGTTCTTCTAAATTGTCATTTGTTCTTCAAGATTTTCCGGATGTTCTCCAAAATTGTCGAATTTCTCTAAATTCTTGTGTGTTCTTAAACTATAAAATCTGTTATCCAAGATTGTGATCTGTTATTCAAGATTTTCATCAGGTATCAGAAGGTGAGATCTCTTTTCCAAGATTGTAATTTGTCCTTCAAGATTGTTATCGGTCCTCCAGGATTATCTTCTGTCCTCCAAGCTTGATATCTTGTTTCCAAGATTGCATATATTCTCCAAAATTTTCATAGCTTCTTTAGAATTTTAATCTCTCTCCGATGATTGCAACATCTTCTTTGAGATTGCCGTTTCTTTTCTGAGATTGCTATCTCTGTGCCAAGATTGCTTTATAACAGCCATGCACCAAAGAGGGTTGGAGGCAAGTTGTGCTCCAAAGGGGAGAGGAGGCAAGCTGTGCTCCAAAGGGGGGAGGAGGCAAGCTGTGCTCCAAAGGGGGGAAGAGGCAGGCTGTGCTCCAAAGGGGAGAGGAGGCAAGCTGTGCTCCAAAGGGGAGAGGAAGCAAGCTGTGCTCCAAATGGGGGAGGAGGCAAGCTGTGCTCCAAAGGGGAGAGGAGGCAAGCTGTGCTCCAAAGGAGGGGAGGAGGCAAGCTGTGCTCCAAAGGGGGGAGGAGGCAAGCTGTGCTCCAAAGAGGGGAGGAGGCAAGCTGTGCTCCAAATGTCAGAGGTCGCCGGCGTAAGGGGGACGTGTGATGGGAGTGGGAAGGGCGTGGGGATGTGATGGGGAGTGAGTATTTGTTCAGTCCGGAAACACTCAAACAATCTGCCCTTACAATTTCCCACTTCTCTTTTTGGGGAAAGAAGGTAATTACTTTCTCCTCTATTTATTCTCTGTTTTCTCCTCTAAATTAACTTCCTCTTCATGCCTCTCTTTTTCTCCACTTCATGCCTCTCCACCTTTCCCCATTGCTCCCCTTTTCTACCATTTCTGGGTAGAAGCGAGGAAACATAAATTGTTATATTTTTCTACATAATGTTTGGAGAAATATTATGCATTATTGAAAAATATTGTTGGGATTCAGAAATATATTCTGTCCAATTTTTTTTTGTTCTGTGGGGAATTTTAATCTATCTGATTTTTCCTCGTTTAATGGCTTCTAACATTCCCCTTCTTCCCCAAGCAGCTAATAAAAGCCAATAACGTATTGATTGTAGCGTGATCCCATACTACCATATAACTGCCAGTCTTCCCCACACCCCCACAATACTCTCAGTCTTCCCCACACCCCCACAATACTCTCACTCTTCCCCACACCTTCGTAATACAGCCTCTTTCCCCACACCCCTACAATACTGCTTCTCTTCCTCACACCCCAAAATAGTTTCACTCTTTCCTCTCTTTTTCCCTCTCCTCTAAACTCTTCTTCTTATAAGTCTTTACTTTCTCCCTTTTTTTATCACTTCGCCATTTATCTTACTATTATTTTTTTCCCCACTTTGGTACCCAGCTGCCGCCAGCCCCCCCCCCCTCCTCCTCCCCGCCCTCGCACGTGACCTTGACGTGCCATCGGAAACATTCACGATATGACCTTGACATTGACTCCGTCATGTGCACTATATATGCTATGGCATTTTTTATTGAATGACATTATATTAACACGTCATATGAAATGATATTTTTGAATAGCACCATAAATGGAATGGCATTATGGGATGACTCTTTCAGAAATGACTTATGGCTAACAGATTTTGCCTTAATTTTGTCTCTATTTTCTTGAAATATGGACAGGCATTGTGCAATGTGCCTTTCTTAATTAATGGCGTTCGTTTAATGGTCTCATTATTATCGCTATACAGTGGTCGCAATATATAATTGCTAGATATTGATATGGCTTTCAATATATCAATATAAAATGGCTATATAATCGGGAGCGCAGCCGTACACCATCAATTATCGTGCACCAATCAGCCCTGATTGAAACGCCTAGCATACTTCCGTAAGACCACCAATTAGCCGTGGATTAAGCCAGCCGTCAGTAACCAGCCCATGACACCATTTTGTTTTAAATATTATGAGCTTTACTCCACCAAACACGGGAGCGAATAGCCTTGAGTGTGATGATTGTCCATCGCTGAACATTCCAGCGAAACATTCCTTCATAATCTGACTTTAACTCGAGCTGCCACCAGCGTACAATGGACAGCGACCAACCAGCCTACCTCTTCCGGGGAACAGCATGAATCCTGACTTGCACTACAAGCCTGCAGATCGAATATGACTTCCGGGGCATCGTTAAGTTACATAATTTTTCGCTCGCAGCATCTGAGGTTAGGTTTCAGATATCATAGTTCTGTTTCGGAATCTATCGTCCTACGACGAGTGGCTGTTCGACCGTAGGCTGATTCGACGCACGGACAAGTTGCGAAAGGTTGGGTGGCGGGCATCATATTCACTGCAAGGTTTCGGTGCTCTGTCCGAGTAGAATTATTCTGTAGAATTTCTTCGCGCATTAGCAGACGATGCTGGGCCATATATAGCAGGCTTTTCTTCTTCAATGGATGTGATCTGTCGGGTGGCTTGTGGCTGAAAATGTGACTGTCCGAAAGTGTTTGAGGCTCGCTCAGTCTCAGGTTGACTAAAATTGGAGTCGAAAATTTTGAGAAATCGCAGTTTCAGTCTTCGTTAGCCACAATTTGAAAGCTTGGCTAAAAATTTATTTCTTTGTTGAATCATACTTCCTTGATAATCTAATTCCGGTGAATACATTGTTTTCCAAACGATCACCTCGCAATTGCAACCTATTTTAGTCTCCAATTCAAGTCCGTTTTTGCTGTCATAGAAAACGTTACATAGAAAACGAACTTTAAAGAGGATAGCTCGCGCCGATGCCAACAGCCTCTCTGGCGTGGATCACGCACGGCAAATGGGTTTCTGAATTACTAGGATTCGAAGCACGCTATTAATTCATACCTCACTCTTCCCTCTCACTCTGCCCCCTCACTCTTCCCTCTCACTCTTCCCTCTCACTCTTCCATCTCGCTCTTCCCTCTCACTCTTCCCTCTCACTTTTCACTATCACTCTGCCCTCTTACTCTTCCCTCTCACTCTTCCCTATCACTCTTGCCTCTCACTCTGCCCTCTCACTCTGACCCTTCACTCTTCCCTCTCACTCTTCCCTCTCACTCTTCCCTCTCACTCTTCCCTCTCACTNTTGATTTCCTTCATTAAATTCCCTCCATGCTCAGAACAAATTCATACGATGGTATTATAATCTTATGAAACAAGCGCATAAATTTATTTCTGTTAAATTAATGGTGCTCGCCACCAGGGGGCGGGCTACATGAGCGCTACGATCAACGTGAGTTTGATGTCTTGCGTAACTACGCGCTGTGTTGACGATGGTGTTCTCTGGCATGTACTCATAATAATGAATGGGTATATTATCCAAATAGTGATACAATTCATGAACGTTTCGCTAATACGCTCTTTTGCCTAGCCAATCTGGGTCAGGATGACCCACACAATGGCGAAAATGCATCGCTATTTGGATAAAGCCTCCCTCATTCCTCAGAATGTGCGCTGTACATACGCCTCTTGTGTGAAAACTTGTAAGATATTAATTTATGTGATTAGGATATATTAATACAATCGTTGTTATATTCATGAAGATTTGTTGTGTGATTTACATGTTAATTGTTATCAAAGTTCTGTTGTTTTTAGATTTATATACAGTTATGGTTTTACAAAACTTGTACATTCACAACAGACGCTTAGGTTTCGTAAATAGTTGTAATGAATTGAAATGTACATTTTGAAATGTATGTACACTTGCTGTTTTCAAAGTATACATAGTATGTAATGCTGCTATTTTTACTGCTAGCATCTTACCAATGTTCTACAATTTATACGCATTCTACCTAAGAAATATGTACGTTTACCTGCTGCTTTTACAGTGAACGTGTAATTTGTTCGCGATCTGCACTGTTGTTCACAATTTATTAACAGTTGTTGTTTTTAAGATTTGTGCGAAACTTTTGCTATAGGATTTCTAAATGGCTGTTACCATAAGATTTACGTTGAGCTGATGTTTCCTGCTGCTACTGTCACGATTATCTATTCATTGCTTTCATTTCAAACAGGATCGAATGAAGACCAGAGAATTATGCAGTTTTACCGACAATTTTCTTATAAGTTTTTTCAATATATCGAACATTATTTTTCGCTTGCATTGATAGATCGAATAAAAACTAATAAGAAAATTGTCAATGCAACTAATACTCTGGTCTTCAATCAAACCTGTTTAAAAGAAAAAATTTTGCCAACCGATACTAACACCTGTCTCTTATACACATCTAGATGTGTATAAGAGACAGACTGGGGGCTACAGGACGACTTCATGGGAGAGGCTGAACTCGATCTCACCACGCTGGACCTGAACAAGTGAGCGGCGGCCTTTGATCTCTTCATTTTTATTGGCAAAAATATAGTTTTATTGATATTTTGTTGATATTTTGACGATTTAGTTGTGGTTGTGACTGTGGTTGTTGATATCATGATCATTATAATTTTCAGTTCAAGGGGTTTCATTTCGGTAACTTTACCAATGCATGGAGCTAATGATATTTTGTCATCGTTGAAGGTCTTGCATAATTGTCAAGTTATGAAGAGAAGTAACACTTATCTTAATATATTTGTGATCATTTTCAATACAATCATAGCTTTCATCTCTATCATCATCACGATTGTTTGTATTACCTTATTTATCTCATCTCATTGAATGTCATTCATCTAATCAAATCCTTTATTGTATTTATGTTATCATATCAAATATCTCATTCATCTCACTCATCTCATCATCTCACTTATCTCATTAACTCTTTTATCTCATCATCTGGCTTATCTCATTCATCTGCATGAAGTCTGTTTGTTGTTGTTAATATTTATTCTGAGATTAACTTTCGCACTGCTAGCGCATT